CCCTGTTTTCGGGTCCTGTGTCAAAGTTGTATATTATCGGATCGAATTTGGTGTTTAGAAAAGCATCACTTGTGCTCAAAATGGATGGCGGGAGCCGATTATTAGAACTTTGAGAAGAAGGAAATGCCGGCGTTACCCTGGCGGTCCGATGACATGCTACGACGGCATAACCTATTCGAGCTCAGCTTCAGTTTAATAGTCCCACTCAGCTAAACAGCAGATGTAAACTTTGAAAAAGGGGAAAAATTCCCTCAACTCAACATTTCTCGGGATAGGGTGTTCGACACAAGAAGGAGGAGAGCCCGGCGTTAGCTGGGCTATCCGACTGGTATGTTATAAAACAAAAAGGAATCGCGGTACTCCATTGTGTCACAAAGCTTAATGCGTAACGGTTGTAGTTTAATAGCAAGAAATAAACAAAGTTCTCATTTCATTATGGAGAAATGTCCCTGACCGGTCGCTATTACAGCTTTGATCATAAGTACCCTTTTGCCGCTAAGGCCCCTTATGAGTTCTTATCAATTGATATCAGTTCCTGTCACCGAGTACCTACGACCACGTCACATCCTACATTGCCGTCATTGAAAAGGCTCCACTGTTGACATGAAGGGGATTGCAACGCTTGCTCGCTTGTTATTATCTGCCCTTATCACTACTTAATTTCGGTCCCTTCACGTCCTGCATTATCTGCTGGAATGCTCAGTTGTTAGTGAGAAAGACGTTGTAGAGTTATTGGCTCTCGCCTCCTATCAGTCTCTATCAATCTCTAAAAGTTTCCCGAAGTGCCAAAGCTCTGTCGTTGACAGAAAACGGTCGTCAAGCAACGGATCATGTCGCTCTCACCTTTCAAGGCTCTTTATCAACTCCTTTTAATTATTATCTCCGCTTATCACCTACCATCAGTGTTCCTATCCTGCTTCCTGCACCCCTACCAAATTTCAACGCAATAGCACCACGGAAACAGGAGTTATGAATTTGCAACCTAAAATTCTATCGCGCACGCCCGCTCCCTGTGGGGGAGGTCCAGTCCTGCTACCTGCTATAAGTGTATACATGCTGCCCCCTGTACTCCCACCAATTTTGAACGTTTGGGTCCACTGCAACAGGAGTTACGAATTTGCGACGTGAAATTTCCATCGCGCACGCCCCGCCCGTGTGGGCAGAGCCTAGTCCTGCCATAAGTGTTTCCACGCTGCCTCCTGTGTCCCACCAATTCTGAACGCTTTGGGTCCAGGAACAAGGGTTATGAACTTCCGGTCAAACACACAACGACACACACAAACAAAAACACGACACACCAACAGAGACACTTAGCGAATTATATAAAGTAGGATTTTTTAATGAAACGGGGCAACGTCTCAGGACAGTCGCCTCAGTGAGGCAGTGAAGGTGTGAATCCGAAAATGAAAACGGGTACGGGAAACGCAGTCAATATAGTTGTTAGCTGAGGCGGAGATCTACGAACTGCTCTAGTCTGAACGCCCTACACGACTACAGTTGACGACGACGGAAGCGGCGTGGTATTGAAGGGGAAAGCGCAGTGTCTCCAGTATAGTGGTTATTAAATATGGCGCTTCGTCCAACCCTCGTTATCTGGTCATTTCTTACAACATATATAATAGACCAGTCGGATCGCCCAGCTAGCGCCGGGCTCTCCTCCTTCTTATGTCATGCCCGGCTACGCCGGGCATCCTCCTTCTTATGTAGTAGGGACAAAGATTGGTACAAACAAACAGGGATTTATTTTCGATGAATATAACATGAAACTGTTTCATTCTAATAATGACTTCCTCGGATAGTGCTTGGTCAGAGGATGATACAGAAAGTCGCTACGGAAGCATACCAATCTAGGGCCTCCGGTCTAATCATAAACTCACTAGTTTTATGAGGACGCTAATTTACTCCGATACCACCTACTTCAGAACGAATAGAAAGCAATTCCAGTGAGCACTGTCCGATCTGAAAAGAGTGGAGCTTGCTGTCTCGGATAGTGCTTGGTTAGGGAATGCTCCATGCCATCAGGGGTTGCCCATAACATAACATCGTCATCTCCATCTGGCGAACCCCGTCCACTCCAGGGATTCGGCCATTCTCCCCTTGATACCTCCAGCCACTTCTTTCCCGTTTCTAGGACGTTTTTGAATAGACTCATAAATATTCGATTTTGGCCTCGCCACCCCC